AGAACATCAGGAGCTTTTCCAGGTGTCTGAAGGTATCATTCTGCATCATGGCTGACATGTGCTCTGGCTTTACTTCTAAAGGGATCCAGCCTTTCCTTAGAAAACACAGACAGATATCCTGGAGTCTAAATCATGACTATGTCTTCTGATAAGCTTGAAGAGAAGTATTTAAAAAATATGTTTCTCTTTCTTAGTAAAATACTAAAATACCAAAGAATCCAGCTACTGAATAGAGAGTAATATGTGCACGCACTGTATATACTGTATATATCCCATGCACCTTTTTCTTCCTATGGCATATTCTTCTTCTTTGACTATTTGAGCTGATGTAACGAGTACATTTCTCCACTGTGCAATCAATAAAGTCAATCAATCAATCGAGTCTCACCCTGAACCAGGAGCTCCAGGATGGTCAGCAGTAGAGTCAGTAACACTAATTTTAAAATCTTTACGTAACTTTTTAATTATCTGTATTTTTACACTTAGATGAAATATAATTTCCTTTTTGACCTTAACATAGATTTTGACAGAAAGTTTCATTGAGCGTAATGTTTTAAAAACCAAGTGAAAAAAGTATCCATTCTACTAAAACTGTTACTGATTCAGATCAGTTCCTCTTTGACTGGGGGGGGTTTGTACGACGTTGTTTCACTGTGTGAGTGGCAAGCTCTTAACCTGCTGACAGTAATAAACTCCTCCATCTTCAGCCTGAACTCCACTAATTGTTAAAGTGAAAGCAGTTCCAGATCCACTTCCACTAAAACTACCTGGAATCCCAGACTGACAAGATGAAGCACTATAGATTAAAAGTTTAGGAGACTCTCCATCCTTCTGGAGGTACCAGATGAGGCAGCTGCCAGCACTGGAGCTGGTTTTACAGCTGATGGAGACAGTCTGCCCTAAAACAACAGACTGAGATCCTGGAGTCTGAGTCAGAATGATGTCGCCTGATGAACCTGGAAAATAAATTAAAGGAATAAAAAAGCTAAGAAGATCACTTTTAATAAACACAATAACATCGCCCAAAAAGATGATCTGTTCTCGAAGAATGTAATTACTGTCTTTCAAATGACGGATCATTATAGTGTTTTATCCAAAGTAAAATTTTCAGCAGAGAGTCTCACCCTGAACCAGGAGCTCCAGGATGGTCAGCAGAAGAGTCAGTAACATCATCATTGTGCTGCTGGTGGTTCAGTGGCTCTGAAAGGCCTGGACAGCCTCTGATCAACACTGACCTCTTAACAGCTGGGAGCAGAGAGGGAGGACACATATGCAAACACACACAGTCAGTCACATGGGGGAGTGGTGGTCTAGCAGTTAGATTTGTGCTTGGGTCCCAATAGGTTCTGAGTCCCAAACACTCCCAGGGATGGCCACTTTGAGTCCCAGAGCAAGACTCTTAACCCCAGACTGCTCCATGGGCATCAACAGTGTCAGTCCCTGCTCCCTAAAGGGGATGATTTAAAATGCACAGAGTGAGTTTACCCAATGTGGGACAATAAAGGATTTTAATGAAGCTGAACTTAACATGTCATCAATTTCAATTAATGTTCACTACAACCTGATGTGTTGCTACAGTATATATTCAACTTGCTAATTTTCTTTAATTTTCTTCTACGACAAGTTATGAAATACTTTTTAAACTATTTTTTAAGGCTGCACTTTTAAAAAAGATGAAATTGTCTAGAGAGCTGTTCCAAACGAAATTTCTTTTTGTTTTACACTTGTGTAAACAAAATGACAAATAAATCTGTCTATCTCTATATATATCTATATCTATAAGAATAATAAAAGAATATATAGTGCAATGTTTGGGTGTAAAACTAATTCATCTATGTCTATGTTAGTTGACTATTGTTCATACTTGTTCTGAAGTGAATGTCTGTAAAGGCATATAAAAGTTTTTCAGCAAAGTCTGTCTGCTTCTTATGCTGCCTTCAGATTTAACATCCAGTTCGGTTTTCAGTGGGTCGGTTTTCTGTATAACAGATTTTACGTGTATGAAGACATTTACAGTTTATATCTCCTTAATTAAAAAACAGCAGCATTTCAACCTAATCTCTACAAACAGTTAGTTTGAACCTGAGTTTAATCTACTGCTAAAAAAATATGTTGAACTTCTTGAAGCTCTTTTAATGAAACATGGCTAAGAACTGGAAAGTGAACATTGAACTTAGAGC